ATTTGAAGAGTGGAGTTCTCTATTTCATCTTTCATGGAAGATTCCATCAGTCACAGTGCACTAATTGATATAGGCTATGGAATTTTGAATTGAATGCCTTCAGTTGTGGCACAGACAAGGAAATGTCTTCAAATACTTCTGGGGGGAAAGTGAAAGCTCTATTATAAATGAATGCTTATACTCTGATTTTTATTTTTAAAATTGTGAGTAAATTATACCTATAATGTTTTCTTCTTGTTGAGGAAAACATTATTTCTGGATACTGAATTTCTCACTTTTAATGCCCTTCAGTCACTCTGATGCATTTTTCTTCAAGCTCAATAATGTACAGCTAAGTAATATTTGAGAAGTTTGGCTTACATCTGTGTACGTAACAGTAGTTACGTCAGACACCTTCAGTCTGTGTTGCTTCTTGGGAAGGTGGAGGGCACTGCAGGGAAGGTTCTAGCATGTGTTAAGGGACAAAGACATCTACAGAACTTTGGCAAATACAAATTTTGTTGCAGGAAATTTCTTATTAAAATTATTATTATTTTTTACTAAGGAAACTTGCAACTCAGTAAGATAAAGATTAAAACTTTAACAGCAAACTGCTGAAAAGATGGCCTACCATGTTATCAACTGATTTTCAATCTAGGAAGGGATAGATCAGCACCCTCTGTAGTAGAACTAACACCAGTTTAATCTTCAAAGCATGTTAGGCTGGTTGAGTCAAGTCAGTGTAAGAGAAATGCTGTCTACTAGATTAAATGATAACAACAAGGCAAGACACTTCAAAAGCACTATTGTTTGCCTGCTTGCTGACTTGTTTTTAGACAGTATTGTCATGTAGGGTAGCTATTTTTTTCGTTTTTATTTCTTCCTTTAAAAGTGTTAAGAGCCTTTACGTTATTTCTAGCTTAGGTGAGGTGTGTGTGCTTCTAAATTGATTCTTCCAGCCATTCAAATTCTACCATATGTTGGTTTGCATCTTCGAGTCATTAGCTGTTAGTTGGTCTCAGGAGTAATAATTCTACGTATGGCACCCCAGGAGTGAGACCACGGGGGCAGCAAGAAAAGGCAATAATAAACATGAAAATAATAGTTAGCAACACTACTGCTTCAGCAAGGTGGGTGACTTTTCACAGTGCCTTCATAGTGATTTAGTGCAGTTCATCTTTGCAATTATCAGCCACTACACACAGAACTTGAAATTTGTTTCATTGTGTAATTGGCTTCTTCCCTGTTTGTTGTAGTTCTTTGTTCTACGTAGAAATAATCACAGAGTTTAAGAGGTCAATATTTTGGTATTTTCAAACATCCGTTACATCATGGTGTTATTTTCCAGATGATCTCTTAATGAGTGCTTCAAGTGGTCTGATTCAGATGAAGTTAGTTAAGTTATGGTGTTACTTCCTGTTCCAGTAATGAGCTGTAGGACCAAGGTAGATGTGTATTAAGATTTCATATTATGTTCTTACATGCCTTACTTGCTGAAGTTTTCACTACAGAGCTGTGTTGTGTGTAGTGTTCTGTATACCTGTATAATTGTCACTGTGTTGGAAGGTGATCTGAATACTGTTTGGTGATGCATAGGTGTTTATAGGTGCTGACATGATGATATATAGGTGGTGGTGATACAAAGATACGAATACAATGCAAAAAATGAGTAAATACCAGTAGCACTACAGTATTAGCTTTTACTGCTTGTTAGTTTTTGACATCTTTTGTGCCTCTGAAACAGACTGCCTGGGCAGTAGCAGTTTGAGCACTGGCATAGGCTGCCCAGAGGCTGTGGAGTCACCTTCCTGGAGATCTTGCAAAGGCACCTGGATGTGGCCCTTGGCACCCTGCTCTGGATGTCCCTGCTGGAGCAGGGCTTGGGCTGGGCAGATCCAGAGGCCGTTCCAATCCCAACCATGCTGTGATTCTGTTTGTTCCCACATCTGGGCTCGTGTGGGGAAACCAGCCCTGGGGTGTGCTAACTGAAGTTGGTGTTCTCATTTCTCATCTACACAACATCAAAGCTAAGCTGCTCTGTGGGAGACTGAGCGTCTATTGTATGGGTTGCTCAGTGCACCCCAAAAAGTAGAGGATCATTTTTGGGATTTTCCTGCATCCCAGTTAGATGGCAGAGGAAGAGCTTTTATACTCTGCAGCAGACATCTTTGAGTGAAATCTCCTGATCCCAACTCCCGTCTTTCATGGCAGATGTAATGAGGTATGACTCTTCTTGTGCTTTATTCCTCTGCTGACCTCTTATCCAAAAGATCTTATGGTACTGCAGTAGTTGGTACTGCAGCGCTTTCCCTCTGCATCTGTACTTGCAAAATGGGAGGGTCAGCTGGGGCTGATAGTGCTTGCCATAATAGTTCCCCAGAAACCTTTCAGAGGGAGAGATACTTAGACATTACAATAGTAGTTATGTATCAGGTGTGAGCATCCGCTTTAACGTACTTTCAAGCTCCTGCTGCATACTGTGTCCTGCCTCTGCAACTAACACTGTGCACAGTATAAATTATTTGTGGGAAGGAATAACATCCTTTATGACAGACAAAAGGAGAGCTGTAGAGGGAAGTCTGAGTAGCTTGTGGGGTTTTGTATTAGTTTAAAACATCCGTGCTGGTTTGTACTGATAAAACATTCATAAACAACGGCATTGAAATTAGTAATGTCATCCTCTGAAATCATGTGAAAGTCTGAACCTTGAATGAAATAGCCTTGAATAATGAGAGAACTGTATTGTTAATATACGCATATCTTAGCATATTTTACTTACTAGGGGGATATTTATTGTGCTAGAAATCTAAATATAATGTTCTGGTCTGTACAAACAGAAACATCAAAGTCTCGATCACAGTGTTCACCCTTCCAGAGCTAGACTAAAGCAGTCACTCCACCCTTTGAAAACAGACAATTTCCTAAAAACCTGTTCTAGAATTCATTTATTTTTTATGAAGTAGAGATTTGAGCAATAGGATAAATGGCCTCCTCGGTTCCTTTTTTTCTGATTTGTTGTAAATAATGTCCATCTTGCCAGAACTCAGGGATGGTTTTCAGTAAGGCTGCAAAACCAGGCATTCAGTAGTCATATAATGTCAGGCATTCAGTAGGCAAATAAAAAAAAATATGCTATAATCTCAAATGAGATCTTATATCTCTTTACCTTACCGCTAACATTGTCGTTTGAGAGCAGCTGTGAAATCTTAAGAGCTATTTTTATTGCTGTTTATGATTTTGATTCAGTTTTATTGCTATGAAGTCCATGGTCATTTGCTACATCTTTAATGTAAGAAAAGATATAGTTGGGAAGCAGTCACACCTGTTTTTAAGATTCTTTGCTGTGTAGTATGTGCTATTTTTTTTATTTACTTAGGCCTGGCTTTACACTGGAACATGCTCATATGTTAGTTTGATAGGGGGCGTTTGTGTATGTATGTAGACGGAGAGAAAGAGTGATGCTGTATGCAACAAAAGTGATGTAGAATTGGATACATTTGATTTTCACTAAAGGCAATTAGTGTAAGACCTGTGGAAAGATTTTTATTCTTTGAATTTTCCAGAGAATAGAATTTTGTATGTCTAAATAATAATGAAAAAAAATTCTGCATCCTCTGAAATCCACTTTTCATTGCACCAGTTGCATCAATTGGAAGCAAAGCGTAACCAAAGATAGTTTCTCTGACTTCTTGGAGTATCATAACTAACAGATTTGCTGGGCAGCACCTGCAGCATTTCTAGTGCAGACCAGTGCTAGCTGTACTGTGCTATCCTTTAATTTTACAGAAGTCAAGGTCTGTTACAAAGTGCTCTGAGTATTTTGTATTTCACGGCAAGTGGAGCAGCTCCCGTGTCTCTGCTTTCTGTGAATGATCTGCATTTCTTAACTTTTGTGAGATATGTTGCATATTGTGTGAATTACACTCCTGGAGTGTAGCTCACCATCAGCCTTGCATCACCTGCTTTGAGATCCTATATTAAGATGGCTGTTGCTGAGCAAGCTGCACTTTGAAACTAATGAACACAGTACACCAAAACAGTTTAATTCCATTAAAAAATACATAGAAATGATGCAACTTTGAGATCTGGAACCCTGTATCTCTAGGGCATTTTGGATTATATTTAAATATATTTCACACTTTCTGGTGGTGAAAGGGTGCTAGATGCTCTTATTGTAAGCATGTAAGTATTATGTTATGGCACAGAAGACTTGCTGGGTGACTTGTCTGCTTTCAGATCTGTATGAAATGGCTTTGTGGCCAATCTAAACATCCTGAGAGAACAGAACTCAAAGGACTGGTTTTCCTGCATTCATGGCTAATATTATCTTGCCTGTGTGCTTGCCTTTGGATTAAGAAACAGGCTAATTAAACATGTTTAGTTAATTTGCCATGTATGATTGATGGATTGGATCACAAACTCCAACTGCCTCCACCCTTCAGGCTACTGGCAGGAGGGTGTTTCATCCATTCTCTCCAATTTCTTTTTGTTTTCCTATGCCCTGACTAGAGCGATTGCTTCAGCATGCCTAAGTTCAGCAAAACCTGAGTCTTAGGATCTGAGATCTAAATTTCCAGGTTTGGTGTTAACAAGGTCTACAGCTGTGACCAGTAATTGTGTGTGTGTGTGTGTAGTCAAAGCAAATCAACAATTGCTAGCGGATAAATGCCTTTGACTGAACTAACTGTGCAGTATACATATGTGAGAATCAAGGTTGAAATGTCATGTGAAATGTGTAATTATATCTCAGTACACATGTTCTGACAAAACATTTGGTTCTTGAAGAGTGGCTTGTTTCCCCAAATGTGTTCTGTGGTCAGACTCATAGTTGTGACTGTGTTATAGATGCCTGCAGTGTGTATGAGCTGCCACTCCTAGCTGTACATGCTTGTCTTAAAATCTTTGGAGGAAAGGCATTTATCTTTACAAAAAAACCTCACTTAATTTTTTGTCTCTCAACTAATTAACCTCATTGTGTGCATAGTTGCAACGTTAATATTTTACTGCTTTTGATTTCCTAGGGCGCCAATGCCTCAGCTTTGGAGAAAGAGATTGGTCCAGAACAATTTCCAGTCAATGAACACTATTTTGGTTTAGTTAATGTAAGTTTCACTTCGTAATTCTATTGCTTTGAAATGTTGTAGCTGGATTGGTTAGATCACAAGATTGCCCCAGAGTGAATAGTTAAAAAGCTGAACAATGCAGTCATTGAACATACATTTTGAAATGTGTTTAAATATTCAGCAAATTTTTAAAACATCTCAATGAAATAATAGTTGAAATTGAGCTAATCATTTATTTCATTTCACTTTTTACAGGGTAATTATGAAACCACTTTCTTGCAATTAAACTGTGACTGTTAAAAAAAAAAATAAAAAGCTATTTAGAATATATGGTTTGTAGTTGGTAATATGCCAACTTAAGTGGATAAATACAGTACAGGAAAAAATCTGTGAAACTGTTGGTGATACTAAGTCTTCACATCTGCCATTTCTATTGAGATGTTAAAAAATACTGAGCCTGAAGGGGAAAGCAAGTGTGGAAAATCATATGAAATGGTTCAGTGGTTCAATTTGATGATTAGTTTTCTGGAATAATTTAAAATTTAATTTCTGGTTTTACCCATGGAAAATGTGTCTTGTTAGAAATTGTATGATTCTGTCTGAAATTAATTATTAAATATTTTACTCAGGGATACTTTGGAAAGTACGTACAAAACAAGGTTGATTTAACATGATCTGTCATCTTGCTTTTTGTAGTGAAACTAATTACTTGTAATGCTGTCCTGCTACTACAACACACATCTCTGTCTCTAGGTTCTTAGTACTGACGTGGTTTAGGAGTCTAAAATCCTGGTATATGCTGTACAGTCATTAAACAGTCTTACTGATAAGCTGACTTAGATGCAGCTCAGCTGTCATGACTTAAATTAGTCATTTTTTCCATTCTCGTGGAAGTTGAAATAGTGCATTGTTTCTCTTAAGAGAGAAGTATGACTGAAGTATGGACTGGATGAGGAGATAGTGAGGTGGATTTAGAACTGAGTGACTGGGTTTAGAGGGCATTGGTGAGTGGCACAGAGTCTGGTTGAAGGCCAGTAAAGAACAGAATACCCCATGGATTGATGCTGGATCCAATCATGTTTAATGTCTTTGTTAACAATCTGGATGATGGGATAGAGTGCACCCTCAGTAAATGCACAGATGACATGAAACTGAGGGAAGTGTTGACTCACTGGAGAGCCGTGCAGCCATCCAGAGGAACTTCAACAGGTCTGGAGAGGGCCTGACAGAAACCTCATGGAGGCTTTGTGCAGGGTCCTTTTCCAGGCACCACAATGTGCTGGGGGCACCCAGCTGGAAAGTGACGCTCTTGAAAAAGGCCTGGAGTTCTTGGTGGACACCGAGTTGAGCATGAGCCAGCAATAGGTGAAGAAGGCCATTGGTATTCTTGGCTTTATTAGGCAGAGCACAGCCAGCAAATCAAGACTCTCCTCATCTACTTTGGTGAGGCTGGAGCTGGAGCACTCCATCCAGTTCAAGGCCCTCTATGGGGGGACAGATTGTCCTCTGTAAGAGAACAGATTGACAGTTAGCACTGGGCAATATTGATAGGACAAAAGGCAGCAGGGACACATTTTCTGGCACACAGGAGTGTGAGAGAGAAGTGTCTGAGAAGCAGGCAGCACTTCCAGCCATCCAGAGAGGCCTAGGCAGGCTGAAGCAGTGGGCCCAGAAGAACCTCATAGCATTGAACAAAGCCACGTGCACCTGGGTTGTGTCAGCCCTCACTGTCAATACAAGCTGGGGATGAAAGGATTGAGCAAAGGACTTCAGAGTGCTGGTGGGTGGCAAGCTGGACATGAGGCAGCAATGTGCCCTCACAGCCCAGAAGGACAACCACATCCTCGGCTGCATTCCAAAGCAGCATGGCTAGCAGGGAAAGGGAGTGATCCTGACCATCTACACTGCGTTGGTGAGGCCTCACCTGGAGTATTGCATCCAGATGTGGAGTCCTCAGTACAGGAGAGACATGGAGCTGTTGGAACAAGTCCAGAGGGGGACCACAAAAGTAATCTGAGAAATGAAGACTTGATAACAGCTCCCCTTCATATACTAAAAGGCTGTAAGAAAGAAGGAGACAGACTCATTAAAAGGGTCATGTCCGTCTTTTTATTAATTATTCTTACTGTCCTTTTATTAATTTATTTCAGTGCAGTTTGAGTGTTCTGTAATCTGTATTTCCTTTTTTTTTCTTTTCAATTTTTTTAATATAAACAATTTCCTTGCTAGCTTTCTGATTAAATTGCACAGTACTCGTGTTTGTCACTGAACTGGGAGAGAGCTGAAAAGAGGAGCTTTCCTGTTACTCCAAAGATATAAAGTCTTTTGTCCTTTTTCTCTGTTGATAGAACCTGTTAAAACTCTCCCTTGTCAATTCTTATAATTTCATACCTCTATTTGCTAATATTTCATATAAAAGATAAATAAGAACATTATTTTCATATGTTAGAGGAGGTGCGTAATAGGTACGTGCTTCAATTTGCTGTCTGAGTGACTGCTGCTGAAAGGTTAGATTACTTGCTGACAGCCTAATAAAGAATTTTGTCACTTTGTGTTAGATAATGGGTTTTACTGCAGGAGGGCTGTATAAAACGAGTGAGTCTCCACTGACAATTCATGTTGCCTTCACAGAAGTGATGGGGAAGTTTGTCACATTGGGATGGGTTAGAGACAGCGTCAGTGATGGCAGGACTTGAGGGAAGCTGTGCCTAGGACCTGGAAAGAGAAATGCACAGTGTTCTGACAAAAGGAACTGTGGATGCTCTTATTGCTGTCCCTGTTTGCACCATTTCAATTCGGTGACCTACCTCATTAAAAATGGCCATGGTCAGTTCTTTTCCTTCCCATCTCTGTTTGAGACTACTACCTCTGACATAGCTTCATGTTCTCAATAAGCCACGATTCACTGTTTTAAGAAAACTCCAGAAAGGCAGTCCTGTCACCTAATATGAGAACTGAAAACGTAAGAGCAGGTTAAAGGAGTTACTTCTGACGTTGATCACAGCTAATAAGATGTGGGAAAACCAATTTCTAAAGTGTCTGAGAAGGTCTCTTCTCACAGTACGAAGTCATGCTCTACCTATTCTGTACTCTTGTGGCTAGCTGAATAGATGTGATATATGGATAGCTATTTTTACCTGGGCGTCTGTGAAATTGGTGGCATTTGTTTTGAGCATAGTTAATGCAAAATTCTGTTAATAAATTTACAGGAAGATAAAATTATAGTGTTGATCAAATTCACTACTTTGTTGTTCTTGTTGTGTTTGCATACAACATACTTCTTAATCTATGGTAAAGCATATTACTGTTTTGTGTTCTTAAAAGTAAAGAAGAAATGACTTACAGAAATTTGCCCATGTGGATTTTTTTATGCTTTGGATTAAATGTTATTCCCCTACAGTAATACAGTGCAAACTAATAAATCTCTCTCTTATTTTTATAGTTTGGGAATACATGCTACTGCAATTCAGTTCTTCAGGCACTTTATTTTTGTCGTCCATTTCGAGACAAAGTCTTAGCATACAAGAGTCAACCAAGAAAAAAAGAGAATCTCCTTACATGCTTAGCTGACCTCTTCCACAGTATAGCCACCCAGAAGAAAAAAGTTGGAGTTATACCTCCCAAGAAATTTATAACAAGATTACGAAAAGAAAATGGTAACTTCTTTTTTCTTTCTTGTGTAATATTGCAAGTATGACTTAGTTCTGTCGTTGAAATAGTGGTATATCTACATATTATGGATAAAAAGTGTTCTTTGTGCTGTAGTGTAAAGTAGAGGTAACCTTAGAATAAGAGTGTAACCTTGGAGCTGTCCAGAAAGAATCCTCTCTCTTTGTGTATAACTGCGTCTTCTATCAGTGTCTGCTTCTGAAATTGCATGCTAGTTTTGTCTAAGAACTGTATTTTCATAATCAGAATTCATTCTAAAGCTTTTATTTTGCTCTTAAAAGATAATTATGCTTTGAATGCGGTGAGCATTCTGCCAAATTGATTGTATGGAATGCACATCGAGGCATCCCTGCCATAATCTAGCTTAAAATCCTATAATTTTTAAGCTGTTAGGTGGTTTTTTTTTTTTTTTTTTTTTTTTTGCATTAACTTATCTTGATCTACTTTTTAAATAATTAATGCATTTTAAAATCAGTAAGTAGTTTTATTTAACTACTTAATGTAATAAATATCCCAAATTTTAAGCGATTTCCAGAGATTTTTAACATTTTATGTTTCTTATCCAAAAAAAGATTCTTATCTCTGACCTGTACAGAATAGGGAACTCATTCAGTTCTTCAGTGAGTTTACTTGAATGTCTTTGCATTTCAATGAATTTGTAGAAATAATCCATTATTCTTTCACTATTTAATCAATGAATGTTAACTATGTAGAGAATGGTTCAAATGGAAAGTAGAAAGTAGATCACAGGAACCATTACTTTTTTTAAAAATAAAAAGTTGTTAGTAATGTTCAGTTATTTAATTACACTCAAATTCTAAGCAGGAGAAGGCAATTGGGAAATATTTTGTAGAGAGATCAGATATGAAAGTTCACCTCTTGCTTGCTTTTTTTGTCTCTTGATGATGATACTCTTACCTCTTCTGTAGAATTAAATGGGTAATTTCTTTTTGAGCAGTGATAACATGTCAATGATAACGTGGACATCATATATACTTTTACTTGCTTATTGTAAAGGTATTTTGAGCTTTAGAGAAGAGTTAGTTGAAGAAAGTATCAGATAGGTATGCAGTGCCAACCTAAATTCTGTTAGAGTAAGCATCCAGCTGTAACAGAGCAATGACTGAAAACATAATCTTCACGTATTCCACGTTACAGTGGTGCTATTCAGTCTTTGTTTTCTAAGCCTGAATCCAACATACATCTGTTAATTACCTTGAAGCTTAACTGAGTGGGAAGCAGCTATTGGCTTGAGGTCAGCTGAAGGTGTACTGTTATGTTTGCTTAAATTTCAGATATCCCTAAGAGATCTGTTAATGTGGCATGGTGAAGAATCTCTGGAGAGTTTAACCTCAAGAGACTTGCAGCCTTGATGTACTTGATTAAATAAAGATTTTGTAGGTGGTTAGATTCAGAGTTGAACATTTCCTTCTTGAAAATAGTGTTGTAGGTGTTCATTAAATAAGCTACTTGATTCATATGCTTGGCTGCTTCGTTGCAGCTCTCCAGATGATACAGATTAACATCACTTTCTCCTTAACTTGCTAGTAATTCAGGTTTTTATTTATTTCAATTTGAAGTTTACTTCTGGATGCAATCAAGTGGATGATGGCAAAGCTATGAAGTAGACCCTGTATGCACTTCTAAATTTAAACTTCACTGAGGATTTTTTTATGTTCATCTTTCCAATCCTGGAAACTATCCCTCCAGTGAAGGCCTGTCTCTTCTAGTCTCTTAATATTCTTACACTAAAAGGAAATTGGAAGTTATGTTTTTTTGCAATTGGAGCAATTGCTAAAAAGACATCTGTGATATTAGCCCATTATAAAGAATGCTTTTCAAATTGGCAGATAAATTTCCTTTCTAAGAGCCCTGGTCAGAAAGGGAAAAGTAACTGTTAATAAATCAAGTTCAGTGCCGTTAGTTTTTCTTAGTCCTATAAATAAGGATTTGTCGAATCAGATGATGTCTCAATTTATTGAAGTCCACTGAAATATGTGCCAGTGATACTATTTGCTGTCAGCTGAGTGAATCCTATGACAACTATGCTTAGAAATGTCAACAAACCACTGTTTGCGCATACTTTTATTATATATACATTATATATCATCCAGAAACAGTTTTTCAGGTCTTTAAAGACAAATCTATTTATTACTTGAAGACCTAATTTGAAGTCTATTCTTGCCTTGCCTAGATATTTAGGCTGGTTTGACATGGCTTACAAGTACTTACAAGTACTGCCTTATCTAATGAGATCTGAGAAAAGTCATAGTTACTTATATCAGTATCTTTTAAGTTCCTCTTACTTTTATTTCTGGTTCTGATGGCAGTGCACTCTTGACAGAGCAGTGATGAACTTAAAGCCCTAAAAGTGCAAATAAATGTTCAAAGCATTCCTTTGCTTGTTGTTTGTGTTAATCATGTGATAGAACATATAAACCACTGAAATATTTCCTGTTCTGAGTTCATTTGTGAAAATATCAACATCTAATGCAATTTGAAATGCCCTTTATTATCCAAGACATTGGTCTAAGCTTGTCAGAAGTAGAATACCCCTGTTGGAGATCCAGATTCTTATGGACTGGCTTCTGGAGTATGGTCCAAGGCAAGCTATAACATTTCAGGCAGCACTGTATGTGCACCAGTGTTTCAGTAGCAGAGTAATGGCCAAGTTTTCTTGCAGATGAGAATCACTTTTCTGGTAATTCTCATCAGCTATTTACAGGAATGTAAGCTATGTCTTTCTCTACCCTTGAAAATTGTTGGCTTAATAAATGAAGTGCTGATTTCGGTGGTGCTTTGTCACAAGTGGTTCAAACCTGAAACAAAGACTAATTTTGAAATTTTCCTTTTAAAAAAAAACTTGTTTATAGTATAGCACTAACCAATTCATTTTAAAAATATCCTGTTTTTTTTTTTTAATCTTATAGAACTTTTTGATAATTACATGCAGCAGGATGCACACGAGTTCTTAAACTACCTATTAAATACAATTGCGGATATCTTGCAAGAGGAAAGAAAACAAGAGAAGCAAAATGGTCGCTTGCCCAATGGCAATATTGATAATGAAAATAACAGCCCACCAGACCCAACGTGGGTTCATGAAATCTTTCAGGGAACGTTAACAAATGAAACCAGATGTCTTACATGTGAAACTGTAAGTCCGTATTTCCTTCATAAAGCAAATTCTTCACGTTACAGAACTTCATTTCATGATTCATTTGTCTCAACAGATTAGTAGATTAGATTCATTTCTTTCCTCAGAAATCTTATATTTGTATGAACGATTTTGTTTTTAATTTGCCAGTGAGAAATTTCCAGCAGCAGATGCCTGATTTGTATAAAAAAGGTATTGATCAATATTAGAAAGATGCCCAGTTGAATTTTGTTTGTGTAGTCACAATCAATTTCAAAATTTAGACTGGGGAAGTCTAAGTTGATATATTTGTAGGAGCAATGAAGCCTGCTGCACAGGGATGGAAAGTTTTTCTCCAAAGTGATGTCTTAAAGACTTAATGTCATATTTAGTCATGCATTCCAGAAATAAACATAGTGAATCAGTTTCCATAGACTTCTAGTTCTGAAATTTAAATCCATTGAAATTGTAACACTGTTGTTTCCTCTTAAATGTCTGTCCACAGAAATTCTTCTCTTACTGGACCCTGAGAAATAACCTTCATTTTTAAGTGAGCTGTGCTAAAACTTTCTTGGAGAATAGCTCTACAGTAAAAGAAATAAGCTATTTTGGAGAAAAACTTGTAATTGAATTTTACCTGCTGCCGAAAAAGCAGCACAATATGAAAATTACAGTAATTCTTTCATGGTCTGTGCCTTAGATACTGTAAAAAGCTAAATAACTATATTTTTTGTATGATTCTCTATACCTATTTGCCTTAATTACATAATGCACATATTTCAGCATTGGAAAGGAGGAATTAGTCAGATGAAAACTATATACTTCACATGTATTTTTTCTGTCTTCTGGAAATATCATCTCTTTGATGTGGGGGGAAAAAAAAAATCAACAAAAAAAAAGTTTCCTAATGTGATATGTAATGCAACTGCAGACTTCAATAGATCCTGATATTTTGAGTAATTTAAGTGCTGATTTCTGCCTACCACCTTTTATTTCTGGTTTCTCCTCCCTACTTATTACTTCATGGCAACTACAAATTACTTTTAGTTCTTGTACTGATTTTTTCTATTTATTTATCATAAAATATGTCTTTAGTTTAGTCTCTTAATAGGACTGATGTCATTACCATTCCTCAATGTGGCATCATGAATTATTCCTGTCAGGATTTTGATCTACATGCAGTCTTAACACAATCTAAAAATGCTGAAGCATTCTTTCCCAGCATTCTTTTGTTAGTTACTGGACCTATCACAATTCTGAGCTTTCCTAGTATTGCTTAGTTCTGTTTTTCTGTTAGCTGTTGCTGAATGGGATATGCCACATCTGCTCAAAGCTGGCTAGTTGAATTTTAAAGAATATCACAGGCAGAAATTTTCTAATAATTGTTTATTGGTATGTTAGGACTTGTGTATTCCTGCCCCTAATAATCTGGAATAATAATCTACTAAGCGTATCAGCTTCTGTCTGCTTAAAACACAGTGACCTGAAAATAGGCACTTAAAAAGAAACACACTTAGACATAGCAAGTATGTAATACTATTGTGAATATACACAGTGAACACATATGACGACTTCAATGCTTATTGAAGGTGTTGGCGTTTAGATTTCAAAGCGTAACTTAAAATGCTATGTAAGAGGTTATGCAGCAAGAAGTGAATTAGTGCTTCTTAATGATAATTACCTTAGTTGTTTGTTTTTTTACTTAAATGTGGAATTTAATGCATACTTAGATATATTTTGTTTTTCTATTTTGCTTTCAAATAGGAATGATCATCGTCTAACTGTTCAAAACAGGGCAATCTTTCTAAAAACCAACATAGCAAGATTTTCACTGTAATTTTCATTGTTCTGATTATAGAAAAGTCAGAAAATTAGCCCTTTTATTTAACTGGCTATTCTAGAAATTTATCTTCAGTTTAAATAGTGGAATATAAAAACCATTGATTTGTCTTGGATCAAGTTACACTGTAAACAAGTTAGAAAACTGATTGTAAATTGTCTTTATGTTCTCTAGATGTGATATCCTGTCATGATTCCTTCTCCTTCCGTGGTAAAGATATGAAGCGTGACTGAGTGAATATTACCTTTTATTGTGGATAGTTGATGGAAAAAAATATGTACAAGTTCATTGATTTTTATGGTGTTGGCCAGGGTTGGAAGGGACTTCAAGGATCATGAAACTCCAACCCCCTTGCCACATGCATGGCCACCAACCTCCTCATTTAATACTAGACCAGGCTGCCCAGGGCCCTATCCAATCTGGCCTTGAACACTTCCAGGGACAGGGCATCCACAATCTCTCTGGGCAGCCTGTTCCAGTACCTCAACCACTCTCTCTGTTCTCCTCCAAATTTCAGGAAGTTGTATTAGAGAACCAGAAAATAATGTGATTGACAAAGTGGAAACAGTCTTGGGCCAAAAACATTGGATCAAATTGATAATGGTTTTCTTTTTCAGCATATTCTCATTTTCATGTAACTCTCCATGATAGAATGTTCTACTTCAGGCTGAGGGGTAACATTAAGGAAAATCTCAGTGGTCTCTCTTACAAGGGCAGTACGGAGACTTAACTATGTCCTGCTCTCTCTTCTTCCCTCTCAATAAATAATGCCCTTTCTTTCAGCTTCATTGAAAAATAGTTTCTATCTTACCATCTATGGGAGTCTACAACTGCAAGAGTCTTTCTTGTGTGTGAGGTAATGCAAATTGCTAGTGAAATTCCAAACCAAAAGTAATACTTTTTTTTTTTGTGGTAGCATTCTGAGTTTTGTCGATGGCACTGGCCATCAGGCTACAGGTGAGCAATGTGTGTGCAAAATTATGTCCAGGATGTGAGAACAAGGTATGGTCCCTTTAGCTAGAATCATAGGATGGCCTGGGTTGAAAAGGACCACAACGATCATCTAGTTTCAACCCCCCTGCTATGTACAGGGTCACCAACCAGCAGACCAGGCTGCCCAGAGCCACATCCAGCCTGGCCTTGAATGCCTCCAGGGATGGGGCATCCACAGCCTCCTTGGGCAACCTGTTCCAGAGCGTCACCACCCTCTGTGTGAAAAACTTCTTCCTAATATCTAACCCAAGCTTCCCCTGTCTCAGTTTAAAACCATTCCCCCTTGTCCTATCACTATCCACCCTCGTGAACCGCCGTTCCCCCTCCTGTGTATATGCTCCCTTCAGGTACTGGAAGGCCACAATGAGGTCTCCCCAGAGCCTTTTCTTCTCCAAGCTAAATAAGCCCAGTTCACTCAAACTTTCCTCACAGGAGAGGTGCTCCAGCTCTCTGATGATCTTAGTGGCCCTCCTCTGGACCCATTCCAACAGCTCTGCGTCTTTCTTGTTCTGGGAGCCCCAGACCTGGACGCAGTACTGCAGGTACATTGGAACTCCAGATATAGAATGTTGGAATGCCTGAATTCTGCATCAGTATTCAGCTGCATATATTGTGTTAGAAACACTCACGAGGCTTTTTGAACAGACTGGGACTTGATTCTGCAAATGATGAGATTTTCTGACCATGTCCATCTTCATTTTATATCCTGTACGTAGTTGAAATACATAGCATAGAAGATAAGATTACTTTAGTCTGAGGATTTGATGTTTATTGGAAATAAATACATGATTTACAAGAAAATAGTGATGTTTATTGGAAATAGAACCTCTGAGAGGAAGGGGGCATGGTTAGAGAGGGAGGTTAATTTTAAAACTTTTATTTTTATTTTTGGTAAAACTGTGTGAATAAACTGGCAGTTCAGATACTGATGGCTGAAAAATCTTAAAAATGAAGAACAGCAATTTCTGATCTATGAATATAGATGGAAAAAACGCACTTGGTAAATCATGTAATGGCTTTTCATGATCTGAAATGCACATCAGCCAGTTGTTGTGCAGACTTTCATTTTCTTCTGCCTTTGCCAGTGGGATAAGGGAGAGAACTGGGGGGGAAGGGGGAAGTGGAATTTGTGGGTTGAAATAAAAACTACTTACTGAAACAGAGAAGGAGTGGAGAAATAATAATGTTACATATATACGGGTATATTTGTGTATATATGCACACGATTGCTCACCTGCTGACTGATAGCCAGCCAGTCCTCAAGCAGAAACTGCATCCCTCTAGCTAATCCCCCCTCCACAGTTTTGTAGCTTTTTTTTCATGTGGTGTCTTATGGTATGGAATATTTTTCTGGCCAGTTGAGGTCAGCTGCCCTCAGGTTGTGTCCCCTTCCCCTAGAATTTCCACTAGACTCCTTTGCATACCACTCTCAAGTTTGGTAGTTCTGAAAGTGATGTTTGCAGTGGGTTATTTTGAAACACTGCTCATCTCCATGCTTCTAAACTGTAGTACTTCCCTGGAGATGGGAAACACACAACTTGCTGAAGATGCAGGAGGCTTTTTTCCCCACCCTAAAAGCATCTTGAAAAATTTCTAGAAGTCTAAACTTAAGCATTTAAGTTATATTATAGACATGATGCATGCTGGTGTAGCAGTCCATTTTCTGTGTGTACACTTATTCTTGGAAATTTATCTATAGAAGAGTGGGAGAAATCTTTCCCCAGTCCTCTCACAGATATTAACAGGAGATTCTAACTTAACTCCATCAGCCTTTTTGTTTCACCTGTTACGTTAGTTCTCAGAAATAGTTGTCTTGACCAGCTGTGTTTTTGTTCTTTGTGTATGCTGCCCTTAGCAGCTGTGCCCTTCTCATCACTTGAGTCAGAGAAAACTTTTCAATACTGCAACCAGGCATGTTTTCTGAAAACATTCACCTTTGTACGTAGGAGTCATAAAAGGCAGTAGACGTTCTCACCAGCAACACTGAATATCTGAAGGTACAAAGGGGAAAGACTACCAGATGCTAAAGAGGAGACACTAGCTATTTCATAAATGTTTTAAAAACATTGCTGATTATCAGGACCACTATGGATTTCATCCATCACCATTTTTCAGGATTTGTGATGAAATTTCTTCTTTGGTTACATTTACTTCTTCTTTGATTACATTTACATTTAGTCTGGGGTAGAGGAGGCTGAGGGGAGACCTTATTGCTCTCTTCCAATACCTGAAAGGTGCTTACAGCAAGAGTGGGGCTGGTCTCATCTCACTGGTGACAGGTGACAGGATGAGGGGAAATGGCCTCAAGTTGCACCAGGGTAAGTTTAGGTTGGATATCAGGAAAAACTTCTTTACAGAAAGGGTTGTTAAGCACTGGAATAGGCTGCCCAGGGATGTGGTTGAGTCACCATCCCTGGATGTGTTTAAAAGCCATTTGGATGTGGTGCTCAGGGACATGATTTAGTGGAGGGTTGTTACTTAGGGTAGTATGGTTAGGTTGTGGTTGGACTTGCTGGTCTTTAAGGTGTTTTCCAACATGAACAGTTAAGTGATTCTACCTTCTTGGGCACACATACGTTTTCCTCTTCCTCTTTCTGAGCAAAATTAGAAACAGAGAACTTGCAAGTGTCTGACACTTCACTTGTAACAAGTTTTGGGAAGCTATTATAAGGTAGAAGATATATTCTGTCAGGAGAGAATGGTGCTGAAAAAGAGTTGAATGAGTTTAACAGGTTTAAACCTTTTAATCTGCTCTTTTTTTTTTTTTTCTGCAGATAAGCAGCAAAGATGAAGACTTCTTAGATCTTTCTGTTGATGTAGAACAAAATACTTCAATTACTCATTGCTTAAGGTAGATGCAAAAATCGGAACTATACTTTGCCTGTCTTTTTTTGACCTTGAAAGAAGGAAGTAAAATTAAAAGCTCATGGACATTTGACTTAGCAAATTTTAGTTTATGTAAACTTAATAAAATGATGGGGTTTTTTTTGCATACGTTTATACATATATTTTAGGTAAGAAGCTAGTATCTCTTTAATAGTCTTTTGGGTTTTTTTTCCTTCAGGGGTTTCAGCAATACAGAAACTCTGTGCAGTGAATACAAGTATTACTGTGAAGAATGCCGCAGTAAGCAAGAAGCACATAAAAGGTAGGTTAGACTCAGAAGGAAGAACATAATGCAAGTATTTTCATGAAAATACTTGTGTTTTTCTGCGTATGTTTGTGTGTATGAGACATGAGGAGAAAGTGCTTTCTCTCCTAAATGTTCTCACTGTTCTTCCTCTAACGAGTCACTTGGTTATGTTTCTCTTACTTGAGTTCACTGAGCCTCCTTTTGTAAGTAATGAGAATCCATTGAGAGTTTTTTTGGGAGGCCTTTGAGCATTATTTATTTTTCTCATTCTAAAAATGTTCTTAAAGCCAAAAATAAGATAAATAGAGAAGTTGGGCTATGCGTGTTTAAGAAAGAATTGCTGATAGTGACAAAATTTCACTGATTTTATGGGACTCTTTGCATTTCTGTCCCTTTGAATAATTAAATAATTTCTACAGTTGCTGCAAGAGACGATTTGATAATTATGACTGAATTAGTAAAAGGTCTTATGCTTGCAACATTACTTTTTAATTGAGTTTTTAATTAGCTGTGGTAAACATCTGTATGGCAGTGCTCATGGAAAGCATTAGAAGCTCCATGAAAATCTGGAGTTTGTTTGTATAAAATATTTCTTGTCTAATATTTAATTTAGTCTTGTTTACATCTTTGAAAAAACCCTCTTGATTCTATGTACTGTGCTATATTTTTTTCTTTTTTCTTTTTTTTTTAATCTGAGAAAGAATTTGTCTGTGTATAGATGAGTTGAAGGGGTGGGAACATGGAGTTGGGGACGTGCTGTACTGGTTATACCACTGGTTCTTGTTAGTGAGTTTACCATAGATTTAACATGTGGCTTTTGGCATGTTTCATCTGCAAAGTATGCATTCATATGTTGCCTAAGCTTACTAATTGATGTGTATGAGGGTGGTTGCGAACTAAGATCTGTCCTGTTGTTTTCTGTTGCCTTAGCTCTTTTTCTTTGTGGGAGGTAATATGATCCCTAACCATTAATAAGTTGTGTTGACATAAGCCTGTACTGTAGGTATGGACATACTGGCAAAACACAGCCTTTTCTTGTTTTCGATGTGACTGGTTTCACTGCAGTCATAATTTTCTTCAATTTCTATAATATAATGTTTATCCATCGTAGTGTCTTCTCAACTAGCAAAGGTGACTTTCTTTACTGTTGAAAAAACTCCTATTATCAAACACAGTTCTTTTATTAAAAAAGGACTTTAATTTTGCAAAAAGAATCAGAGCAGAAATTATATCTGTATCTCAGTAATAAAAAGTAACTGTGCTTCTGCCATCTGTCAGCCCTTTTTTCATTTCCTAGTTTCCTTGCAGACAAAGGAGAAAAATTGAGTCTAGCAGGGTTTCCACAGCTACTATCAAGTCTATTTTTAATAAGAAAAAGGGAAGGAAGGATTTTGTCCACAGTCCCTTATCTTTTGAAAAAGGATTATGCCGTACAAACATATTTACTGACATTGCAAAAATACAGTCTTAGTAGACAGATCTGAAACGTTCATTGGGCTGTACTGTTGACACTTTGGAGCTACTTTGATGGCTCAAGGCAGTTTGATAAAATTATGTGCCTTAGATCAGTACAGCACAGAAGCAGAAAACTCTAGCTTGGTTGCTATTAATATGGGCAAATTTATCTCCCAGAGAATTTAAGTCTCTGTTGCCAGGTCAGCCAGGTTGGCTGATGTGAATTTGTAGGCACTGATGCAAAATTTCATTCCTTCAAACTAGGGAAAGTGGCCAGTGAGCTGTCAATAAAACTAGGTTATCACTTTCAGGTTTTGACTTCAATAAAATAATGGTGCAACATTTGTACAAAATTACTGTGCTAGAGCTTAGCATTATCTTGTTTTGGCAGCATGAGGTGTGGGGAATAACAGTGTGCTCTGTATCTCTTGGCAGTGTTAAATGAAGGGCTTGATGTGAAAACTTGAAGTAATATAAATGTGACAAAGTAGTATTGCCTTTTTCTAAAACGCTTGTTTGACTTGACTGGTTTAATGGGAAATTAAACTGTAACAGAATCTTTGGAACAACTTTGTTGCAGTATCTCCACTGGATACTAAGTGGTGTGTAGGTTTGTTTTTGGAAACTCAGGAAAGCTATAGGGAGGTATGTCTAAAAGCTGACTTCTCTGTGTTAGTTTAACACTGATAGGTAGCTGAACACCACCACATTGTGCTCCTGTTCCTCCTCCTCAGGACACAGGAGGGGAAATATGTTGAATAATTTCATGGGTAGAGGTAAGGGAGATCAGGCAAAAGGCACTCGGCACAAGGAAGATTAATATAATTTATTGCTTATTGTTAACAGACAAGAGCAGTGAGAAATTAAAACCAAACCACAAACACTTTCCCCTATCCACCCTTTCCTACCTCCTTCCCTCAGGGCAGCACAGGGTATGGGGCTGAGGTCAGTCCATAATGCCTGTCTGTGCTGCTCCTTTGTGGTCACTCTCTGCCCTGCTCCATGCAGGCTCCCTCTCATGGATGTCATCCTTCCCAAACTGATCCCACATTGGCTTCCCACGGGCTCTAGCTCTCCAAGCACTGCCCCCTAATACAACTCTGTACTACGGGGGCCCATCCTTCTGGGACTGCTCCAGCACAGGTCCCCACGGACCACAGCTCCCCCAGTCCTGCTGCCTCACCATCACGGTCTTTTCCATGGGCTGCAGCTCTGGCTCAGAGCTGCTCTGGAGGGGCTCTCTGTGGGCTGCACCTCCCTCAGACCAAGTCCTCTGCTGCACCGTGGGCTGCTTCATGTGGAGGTCTGCTCTGCAAGGTGCAGAACAGTCTGATCCTACATGGGCCTCTCCCGAGCTGCAGGGAGATGCTACTCTGCTACCCTGCTGCACTGACCTTTGTGGCTGCAGGGTTGCATCTCTCTGATTTCTCACTCCTCTCTCCCAATTGCTGTTGCACAGCGGTTTTTCCTTTCCTTAAATATGCTCTTCCAGTTGTGCGCCCAGCATCACTCATGGCTCGGCTTGGGCCATCAGCAGCTCCCTTTTGGAGCAGCTGGAGCTGGCTCTGATCTGATGCAGAGCGATGCTGTGCTCTGCTCACAGAGGCCACCCCTGCAGCCCACCCATTTCCAAAACTTTGCTGTGTAAACCTAATACAAGCCTTTATGTCTAAATTGCTATGTGCATTGATCGCAGGCATTCATTTAGCTTCAATTTTAATTACGTTTGTAATTATCTCAGTTATAATCCAATTTTAGTTTAACAGTGCAGGACAAATTCAGTATTTTTTACGTGGTTGATGATGATTTGAGCACCTTGTTAATACTTGCAGCACTTTTTTAAAGACTTAACTGTTTAAGTTGCCTGTTTTTTAATATCAGCAGAATTGTTTGCCTCAATACTGGAAATCCTGGTTTTTGTTTGCTTGTTTTTTCAGGATGAAAGTAAAAAAACTGCCTATGATTCTAGCTCTCCATTTGAAGAGATTTAAATATATGGATCAGCTGCATAGATACACAAAACTCTCTTACAGAGTAGTTTTTCCTTTAGAGCTTCGTTTATTTAACACCTCAGGAGACGCCACCAATCCTGACAGAATGTATGACCTCGTTGCTGTGGTAGTTCATTGTGGAAGGTAATAACAGTATATTATGTAGGAGATTTTTGTATAAAAGATAAAGTGTTTTTTATTTTTTTTAATGAAGGAAAAAAAAAAATAAGGAAAGAAACTCGCAAAATCACATAGCTCTAATAGCATGTAAAAATCTCTTAAGAGTTTCTTAGAAAAGAAAGCATTGTGAGGAGGCGCCACTAATCTGGACAGAATACATGTTCTTGTTGCCACCACAGTTCACTTTGGAAAGTAGTAACAGTGTATTCATATGAGTATTTATGTGAGCCTAACTATGTCAAAAGAAAAATGAAATGTATCCCATATCATATAACTCTAATAACAGATTCTCCCTAACCCAGACCTACAGATTGTTTGAGAGTTGTTAGCAGGTTAGGGCAGTTCCAGAACTGCCTTAAATACTCTTTCAATTATGTGTTTCAGGTAAGTGCATCATTTCCTTACCTGAAATCTGCTTAAGAGTCAGGGTGCTCTTAGAGTTCTTTGTTCATGTTACAGTTGCGGAGAATTTTCTTGTCTGCCATAAACTGAAGAGCTGTGAATTATAACTGTTTCAGTTTAAATGGGAAACCCTTTCATTGCTGTAAGGATTTTTCAGTCTCCTAAATTATTAGTTTTACTTAGTTGTTTGTTTCTTTCTCTATTTTTTCCTTAACTTTCAAACAGATAATCTCAATATGATATCTCTGTAGTTGAACTCTGTGTTTTTCTTTATGAAGATTGTAAAATTCTTTGGGATCTATTCAATCATTATGAAGCATTAGAATAGTTTACTTATTTCACATTTATATTTCTTTTTTATTTCCCTTCATTTATGTCTTTGTGCCTGTGCTGCTTAGGCCTTTATTTTATATATAAAACATAGGTACATAAGGTGTTGCTAAGAAAACTATTTGGAGTTGTTGGAAAAAAGGAAAAGAAACATCCAAACAGAAATTATATGGTAGCCCACTTAATTAGTATTAAATATTACTTTCTACAAGGAAAAAAAAACCACACACTTTAGTGAAGTATATTTGTACATTTGTGTGTGTTGTTATTTGAATTCTTCTTTAATTGTATTTTACAGTGGCCCTAACAGAGGACATTATATTGCAATAGTGAAGAGTCATGATTTTTGGTTGCTTTTTGATGATGATATTGTTGAGGTAAGCTTTGTGTAATCCTGGATTTTTTTTCACATTCTTATCAGAGCACTTGTACTCCTAATTGCTGCTTGATCACATAGAAGACTGTCATGCTAATGCCCATTCTATATGAGCAAGAACCGTGAGTGCAGAGCTGCACTTTACAATTTGACTGCACAATAATTTGAATTGTTACACTTTTTATAGCTTCTTAAAATAAACTTCTATATTGCCAGTGTCTTTCACCTTCATTTGGTAAGCTGTTCCTTTGGCCAGAGCATGTGGCAGATAGCATATAGGTGAACTGATTTTACCACTATGAGAATATACAATTTCTTGGCGCAAGATGTTTATTCATATTCTGAGTATATGTATTCAGTGTCTCATCTATTGGACTGGATCAGTCTGGTAGTCTGTTAGATGGAGTGTCCTAGATGGTTTCAGAAAAAAACTGCAACAAGAGTCAAAGTAGACTGAAACCTGTTAGATTGCAATGTAAAATCTAAAAGTTAATCCTTGAAAAATCTGTTGCTTATGATGTTGTTGCTAATGTTAGCCATGCTTCTAGGAATTCAAGAATTCCTAAAAAGTTAATAAATAAATAAATAGCTTTTAACTAATCATAGAATGGCCTGGGTTGAAAAGGACCTCAAACATCATCATGTTTCAACTCCCCTGCTATGTACAGGGCTGCCAGCCACCAGACCAGGCTGCCCAGAGCCAAATCCAGCCTGGCCTTGAATGCCTCCAGGGATGGGGCATCCACAACCTCCTTGGGCAACCTATTCCAGTTCATCACCACCCTGTGTGTGAAAAACTTCCTCCTAATCACTAACTTAAACCTCCCCTGTCTCAGTTTAAAACCGTTTCCCCCTTGTCCTATCACTGTCCATTTTCTTCAACGTTGACGTTGTCAACTTTATTTTGTCAGTTATCTTTTATTCTTTATTGAGGGAAAGAACAGTCTGTGTTTTAGATTGTTTCCGTTTTTTTGCTTGTTCTGTCATCTTTTTCTCAACCTTGTCTTTGCTCACGCAGCAACAGAATTATGATTGTGCTGTCCAAGTCCTTTATTAAATTAAGCCTGTACAATGAATAATTTATGTTCTTCCTTACAATATACAAAACTGCATAATTAAAAAGAAGAAAAATGAGTGAGACGTGTATTAGACTTACGGTTTTAATTGGCAGAACAAGTCAAGGGTAGTAAGAATTTCTTATCACCAAGCCACACTATGGATTGTTTTTCACATAGTAAATGCCAAACATGGAAATATGCAGGGTTGCTGGGGAAAGTTAAAAAGGATTGCTTATATGTCTTATCAAGATGCACTGTAAATTGAAATACCTTGATAAGGTCAAAAGTTCACTTTCCTCCAGGGAAAAAAGAAGCTGCTGTAGTAGATCTCATATAATTTTACAAACATAAAGTTCAGTCTTTCCAGTTCCAGAGCAGTAACACCTGGAAATTCTTGTGGTTTTTTTTTCCTTTACTTTTTCCCTCTGAGTCCTTCTAAACAGGAGGGAAAGAATCTTTTCTCTTCCCAGATCTTAAACATCTTGCTGTCTGTTATTCCTATGACAAGTTGGAATGATTTCCTCCTTCCTGAAAAAGATTCCCATTCTTATAATGGAAATGAGGTTAAATAAAGTCTAAGTGAAGGAAGATTTATCTTTCAGTCTTTCTGTTGTTTGTAGCCTAATTGCCTTTGGCGTAGAACCTGGCAAGATAGCTTGCTTTTAGTTTGTTTCTTTTGTATGCAAAGATGATGAAAATGAAAACCAGCATATACTCTTCTCACTTTCCAGATATTTAAAATCTTTTCATAAAAATTGAATGAAGAACTGAGGAAAAAGTTTACCTTCATTCTTTGAGTTCTGATTTTTCTCATCTGCAGTTGATTGGCTTCCAGTGTTTAGGGTTAAAAATGATAATTGTACATACATTCTAGATAGTGAATGAAACATCTCAGCGCAATATTGTTATCTTTAAAATTATTCCATGTGAAACTTGTGCAAGCAACGTACCTCTGGTTGCAGTCATAGGTTCACCCAAAAGTGAACACTCATATGTGCATAAATCTATATATCTGCTACTGTCTGTGCAGCTGATGACAGATAGGAAACTAAAATTTAATGAATTTTAAGAGTTATTTGGATTTCATAGTTGTATATAATATTTGGAAGTTCTTTGAAAATAGTTTCTAGAGTGGAACTTAATGTGATGTATGTTATGCAGGATAATCTTACATTAAATGCTTGGTATTTTACATACAGAAAATTGATGCACAAGCTATTGAAGAATTCTACGGGTTGACATCAGACATCTCAAAGAACTCTGAGTCTGGTTACATCCTCTTCTATCAGTCTCGGGATTGAGGGGGAGTTATAGTGAAGAGAGATTGTTACGCCTCGCATCTTCTCTATCTTGGATTGGAGCAAGCACTGAAAGAAAGGAAGCTGGAAGCTCCAGGGGCAGTAGCACAGTTTGCACACGACTAAGCAAAGAACTTGGAATTTTTAAGACCTTTGTATCATTTTCATTTTATTTGCTCAGGTATCATGCTGACTGCACATCTCCACTGCATCTCATAAGCAAAAAGAGATACCAGCCACTCTTGCAGGAGCTTTCTGTTAGGAAATACTGTCTCCGTGGTCCTAATTCAAAGCCTATTAAGGTCACTGGAGAACCTTTCATGGAATTCAGTGGAATTTGAATCAGATTCTAGCAGCACTGCCAGATTGGTGCAATAGGAGCATTACAGATCTCTATTTTATACAGACTTCACATGTAAGAGGTAAAGGACTCTTTGTAAACTTAATTTCCTGTGCTTAATTTTGAAAGAATGAGGCTGGAAAGTTACTGTGGAAGCAAAAAGATATATATGGGCCCAATTGCCTTCTTGATGGTATTAGTTTAACTGAAGATACAAACTAGTGTCAGGGAGGCAAGTATGTTTTGCTTCTCTGAAGAAGCTTACGTTATTTATAATGTATGATCGGGAACAATCAGTCAAGATTATGGCTTTTAGTCTCCGTATGGGGAAAGATTTGGTTTGTAATAGTATGTGTTTATTTATAAATTATTGTTACTTGGGATCTTGTTACTTAGAATCTCCTTTATTCTAGCCAGTATTGGGGATTTTATGTATTAATTTGAATTAAAACTAATTATGTTTAAATGTTTAAAAAAAAAAAAAAGAGAGCTGATATAAAGTCTAAAAGCAATGCCTGCAATGTCTTTAACAATGAGTAACATAGAGAGATTTCCTTCTGGAGGAACTGGTATCTAAGTGAGGTACTTTTATTAAATTAGAATATTATCTTTCCATTAATGTGTGAAAAAAGTGATCAAAATAATACATAGAAGACTTTAATGAATGCATATCACAAGAAAAAGATGGTGTGGTGGTGGTATACCAGTCTTGATAGTTCTTTAATTGTTTGTTAATGTCTTGTGCTCTAAGCAAATTGGAACCATTTTCAAAATATCATTCCCTCTCCTAAAAATGGATCCACTTATGTTACTTATGTTAGTCACGTGGGTGACTATCTCAAAAACCACTCAAGGTCTCAAGTACAAATTGTGTCTAAGCAATAAAAAGAAATAGGCTTAGAATTTCATGAGACTGAAGATACACCACATTCCTTTAAAAATAGCATAAAGAAGAGGATTTTTCACCTCTAGGGTGAAAAATTCTGAATTTAACTGCTTATACTTCACTTTAGGTTTATGAAATAGCATTAAGAATTAAATCTTGACAATACACCTGATCTGTAATAAATGTGAACTACTGTGATTTGACATTCTTCCACTTAACAGTACTTTGTCTGTCAGTAGCTGAATGTAACTTCTGGAAAGTCAGGGGATATTCATTCCTGATGATGGCAATCAAGTCTCGGATGTCCTTGTCTCCCCTCTTCAGCTAGTGATTTGTACCTTATTGTAGTTTTCTAAGGTTATTTTATTGATACTGTTGCAAACTCTAAAAAGAATGTCTCTTGTCTGCTGCTATAACTATTTACTTACCTGTATCTTTTAGCTCAGGAAATGACTTCACCTATTCACTCAGTTGAACTAATCTTTAACAGGGTCACTGAATAAATTGGGCTATTTAGCAACTGTCATGCTGTAACAAACTGCTTTTGTAAAACACAAAGTTTCTAAAGCCCTGGTTAGGCTAGAACACTTTTATATAAAATCATTTATAGTGATCAGACTGTCCAAGTACCAGCATTGTAAAGTAAAGTTTCAACATTGTGGGGAATGCAGAAAATACGATTGGATTTTTCTTAAGGAATTAAAATAATTTTAAAACCTTTTTTCAGCTTTCTGTGGGAAAAGGGCTAACGGGTGAGGCAGTTGATTAATGCTGCACATTAAAGGATGAAGTCCTTTGCATACTAAAGGTACAGTATTGTAGAAGAACTAAAGAACTGTCGTGTTTCTTTTTTACTAATTGATAAATGTTTGGTCCTTCTTTTCTTTTTTCGTGGTGTAGCTCAAAGCTGGGGCTAGTTGCTGAATACTTTATACCCTAACAAAATGTAAAACGCTTGCGTTTTATTCACTGGTTTTACTTCTGCAACTTATTTTTGTAAGACACTGACTTTTATTTTGCGTGGGGTTTTTGAGATAGTATTCCAAATTATATATTTCACTTCGGGTTTTTTTTTTTTTTTTTCAGCTGAAATAATTGTAATTTCTCAAACTATTATCAGAAACTGCAACTTCATTAGAAAAAGTAAAGAAGCAGGGAAGTGCAAAATATAACTGTTTGGTATGTAAAGCAGTATGGAATTATTTCTTGACTCTAGTACGGGGGGGGGGGTGTGGGAAAGTTGTCAGTTGTTGTAAATGGTGGAAATGATTTGCTGTGTCACTGTGTAAAATGTTAATTGGGACTACGGTCCTCTATTTTGTATATGGAACAAAAACTTCTATTAAATAAAATATGTTCTCTGAAGGTAAGTACTGCACCCTTTGCAGAGCCCTCATGGTCAGTCTGCTCTCTTCTGTGCTTTTCAGTGTTTTCAAACCCTAAGTATCTAGAGTGTCCTCTGTTAGACTGACAGCCCTGAGCTGTGGAAGGAATGTGTTTAAATACAGTGCCTTTTATATCTCAGTTTGTTGTTACAAAAATAGTTCTGTGGCAGTTACATTTTTCGTGGTGTAGTTCTCTAGAATTGGTTTTTACAGAATCACAGAATTGTAGGGGTTGGAAGGGACCTCCAGAGATCATCAAGTCCAACCCCTCTGCCAAAGCAGGATCCCTACAGCAGGTCACACAAGTAGGCATCCAGGCGGGTCTTGAATATCTCCAGAGAAGGAGACTCCACAACCTCCCTGGGCAGCCTGTTCCAGTGCTCCGTCACCTCACCGTAAAGAAGTTCTTGTGTACATTGGTGCGGAACTTCCTATGCTCCAGCTTCTGGCCATTTCCCCTTGTCCTGTCTCCACATACCACTGAAAACAGTCTGGCCTCGCCACTTTGCCCCCCACACCTTAGATATTTATAGACCTGGATCAGGTCCCCTCTCAGTCTTCTCTTCTCAAGGCTAAACAGACCCAGATCACTCAGCCTTTCCTCATAGGGGAGATGCTCCAGGCCCTTCACCATCTTTGTGGCTCTCCGCTGGACTCTTTCCAAGAGATCCCTGTCTTTTTTGTACTGAGGAGCCCAGAACTGGACACAGTACTCCAGATGAGGCCTTACCAGGGCAGAGTAGATTGTTGGTTTCTGAGTTGAGAAGAGAGGGAGTGTTTTGAAATACTGTTCTTCCTGATGTCCATTCCTCTAAAAATCAGAACTTTATATAAAGTGTGCATCCAAGTTACCTAACGGATTGCCACTTTGCGGGAGTGGAAACTGAAGGAATAAGAAGTCAGAGTATTTACAGAGCTAGCGTAGGAGAGAAGCGACTGACCAAAGAACTGAAACTCAACATCAGAAGTGAAAATGCACTTGATGACAATATCCAGTGTGATTTGGTTTCAAGTCATTTTCCACTTGGAGTATACTCTATTGTTTGTAATGAATAGACATACTATTTACAAACAGATCATACCCTGCTGTATTTGAAGTTGTGATGACTACATCCATGGCCTTTCACTGTATGGAAGAGGGACTTAATCATTCGCACACATACCTTAAAATTGAATTGTGTTGTCAGAAGTTTGTCTTGTATCTGGTTGCATATCTTTAGGTGAAATTCAGATGTTAGCACATAAGGATTTTATACCATTTCAGATCTGCTGTCATACTCTTAGTCATCTGCATGGACTGGCAGCTAGGCCACAAGACCTACAGAAGGTCTGCATCCTTCTGGAGCAGCAGCTTAAAGCTGGCCAGGACATCCTGGCTTGTTCCCCATGTTTCTCTCTCAGCATTTCCACATGCAGTATCACATGTGCACTTCTTGGTGCGTATACATATATAACTTTATATTACTTTGATACTTTTTTTTTGTGGTGATGTTTGTAAACCTGAAGTATGTGAGGCCACTAGTTACTTTCACTATTAAAATGAAAAGAACTTTATCTTGTGTTATTTGGCTCAGTCTCTCAGCTGTAGGTTCAGTATGACCAGGAAAGGCATCTTTTTGAAAGAAATTTTGATATGTGAAATCTTCACTTTTCATTTAACAAAAATTAATTAGCTTTATTTCAAGATAAGTAGATATGTATGCAACTTTTCTTCTGGAAGTTTAAATAATCCAGATGCAGTTTGTTTGCTCTTCTAGAGTGGTTTTACAGTCTAAGTTGTTCAGTTTTTCCCCTCGTGTTTGTCTGGGTTGATTTGAAGATTATACATCTAAAATCAGTCTTTGCTTTCCCTCTTGATAATACAGTGTGAACATTTTATGGGCTCTAACTTGTGAGGCTTCAAAGCCCTCTAACTTCTCACAGAATGATGTGAGATGTATAATACATTAGTCTCTTTACATGCAAACCTCCAGATACTCAGTTATTACTGAAATTAATATTCTCCATCGTCTGTATTGAAGGGCTGTCCATTTTGCTGAATCTTTGCTTCTGATTGATTGTTACAAGTGGGCTATGCAGGTCAGCTGCCGTGCAAACAAACAGTGGCTTCATCTTTTAAATACAGAGATCTCTGAAATCTGTTTCCAGTTTTATTAATAGTCTGGGGCAGAAATAACTTTGGTCTCTATTCAAAACATTCACAAAGTGGTTTGCTTCTTTCTTTGTAAAGTAAGCTAAACCTCACCATCTCCTATAATGGTTGATGAGGTCTTTTGGGGGGAGCTTGTTTAAGTACGAGTTGGATATATAAGGAAGATTGCAGATAATATCAGCATTAAAAGGAACTGAATAATATTTTTCTTCCCAGAAGCTCAAATGAATTATATTCTTCCTTTCCCTCTAATGGCTTGTGATTGGCTCTACATAAGAGATTTTTAGGAATCAGATAAATGTAAACTCAGAGATGCTGTCTGCCAGCTCTTTGTATAGAATTCCTGCTGGCAACATCAGGGAGCTTTAATTACCGAAGGATCATGTCTTTGATCTGCATTCCACAGGTTATGTGAACCAGGAGAGAGGTTGCCTAGCACGGATCTTGCAGAGAATGTGGAGAGGAACTTTACAATTACTTATAAAAATACTAGATTAAAAAAATATATATACCTGAAAGGTAAAATACTGCATTTGATATGTATTTCTAGTGTTTTGTGGGAGTTAGGGTACTCTGCCATACTCTAAGCTTTTCTTCCTTATTAAAGAATTGTGCTCTTCTGTGTATGTTTTATTTGTTCTTTAGGTCTGCTAAATTAGTGAACTCTATTTCAAAGTGGAGTCCAACGCTTAACATTTCTTGCATTGAAAAGAGCTGAAGCTGCTTTGTCTGTGCCTTTTGGGTGAAAGTTCTCTTCAAAAGCAAACGTATTTGGAGTCGTGGGATTGAATAAATGTCACAATTTTGATGTACCCCTTTCATGGTATTTTTAAAGAAATTCTGGAAGCCATTCTATATTTCTCCCTAGCATTGTTACGGATCCTGAAACATATTTGGAAAATGAAATGTTTGTTTTATAGAAAATACCTTCAGATTATTTTAGAGATTGCTTGAGTTCAGCATGGCAATATTACAATATTATGAGAATGAGCAAAAGCACAATTAGGTGCTAGCTACCAAGGAGAGAGAATACATTGGCATTACCAAGCACAGTGCTAATAAGACCCAGATTTTACTAAGATACATTTCCACAGAATCATAGAATAAAATCACTCAGGTTGGAAAGGACCTTAAAGATCACAGAGTCCAACCATGACCTAACCATACTACCCTAACTAACAGCCTTCCACTAGGACATGTCCCTGAGCAGAACAGCATAGAAAAGTTTGGGCTGAAAAGGACCTTTAAGATCATCTCATTCCAACCACCTGCAATAGGCAGGGAGACCTTCCCCCTAAACCAGGTTGCTCAAAGCCCAGACCAGCCTGACCTTGAATGCTTCCAGGGAGAGGAAGTGTTCATGTCTAGTGTAAATCTACCCTCTTCCAGATAAAAGCCATTACCCTTTGTCCCATTGCTACCTTACAAAAAGTCCTTCACGAGCTTTCATTAAGGCCCCCTACAGATACTGGAAGGCCACTATAAGGTCCCCTTGGAGTGAAAAAGGGAGCGGAAAGAAGCTCTAGCAGAAAAAGGGAGCTGAAGGGAGCTCCAGCGGAAAAGGGAGCTGAAAGAATCTGTAGCGAAAGAGATGAAAGAAGCTCTAGTGAAAGAGAGCAGAAGGAAGCTCTAGTAAAAGCTGAAAGGAGTTGTGGCGAAAAGGGGAGCTGTAAAGCTAGCAAGACAGAACTGAAAGAAACTTTTATGAAAGCTGAAACAAGCTCTAACAAGAAAGGGAGGAGGAGGAAGCTCTAGCGAAAGAGCTGAAAGAAGCTCTAGCAAAAAAGGGAGCTGAAAGTAGCTCTTGCGAAAGAGAGCTGAAGGAGGCTCTAACAAAAAAGGAAGATTAAAGAAGCTCCAGTGAAAAAATGAGAGCTGAAAGAAGCTCCAGCAAAAAATGGGTGCTGTGAAGCTTGGGAGACAGATCTGAAAGGATCTCTTGTGAAAGCTGAAAGAAGCTCTAACAAAAAAGGAATCTGAAGGAAGCTCTAGCGAAAGAGCTGAAAAGCTGTGGCAAAAGAGCTGATAGAAGCTCTAGAGAAAAAGGGAGCTGAGAGAAGCTCTAGCAAAAGAGTTGAAAGGAGCTCTAGCAAAAGGGAGCTGAAGGAAGCTCTAGTGATAGAGAGCTGAAGGATGCTCTAACAAAAAAGGAAGCTGAAAGAAGTTCTAGAGAAAAAAGGAACTGAAAGAAGCTCTAGCAAAGGAGAGATAAAGGGAGCTCTAACAAAAGAGCTGAAAGAAGCTCTAGCAAGAGAGCTGAAAGAAACTAGTGAAAAAGGGAGGTGAAAGCTGGTATAATGAAAGAGCTGAAAGAAGCTCTAGTAAAAAAAAAAAAAAGGGAGCTGTAGAAAGCTGTAGCAAAAAAGGGAGCTGAAAGAAGCTCTAGCAAAAAAAAAGGGAACTGAAGGAAGAACTTGCAAGAGAGCTGAAAGAAGCTCTAGCAAAAGAGAGACTAAAGGAGCTCTAGCAAAAAAGGAAGCTGAAAAAAGCTCTAGTGAAAGAGAGGTGAAAGAAGCTCTAGTAAAAAGGGGTGCTGTAA